GTTGAGCGATGTCGTGAGCCTCATGAATGTAAGAATTAAACGATCCTTTCGGAACAAAGGACTCCCGAACAAGAACAGGAATGTGTACTCTGTCGCACACACCTTCATTGAATTGACTTATATATTGCTGAAATTCACGTGTTTGATTCCAGACTTTTTTACTGAGAAATTTGTTAATCCAGTCAATTTGATTCGTATTTAACGATTTAATAACTTCTGTTTGCACCTCATTGTTAGATAAATCGATAATATTATTAAGAGATGATGATGATAAAAAATCTTTTCCAGACTTTATATCCTTCTCTTGTTGTATAGACAAAATGGTGAGTAGTTTATTACGGATGCTTATTTCGTCCTAGAAAAATAAATAGAAGAGAATATAGTTATTATTTATAAAAAGCAATAAAATTACAAAAATTACAAATAATAAAATACCTGAGTAAGTTCCCGAATTTCCTCTTCAACTTGAACTACATCAACGGATTTGGTCTCCCTCCCTTCTGAGCCAGATGATATGCTATCAAGATCTTGTTTGTTATCGAGGGAAGCAGACATGAAGGAACTTCGTGCGGTTTTAATTGAACTTGATGATGAATCACTGATGAATGAATTATCAATATTGTCATCCACGTTTTCTTTCCTGCCGGTGGTTTTGGCCTGTTCATACAAGAAAATTTTTAGAGAATTCGCACCTCATCATAGGGTTGCATTCTATACACACCTTCTTTGAACCGGTCAACTTGACCGATTCTTTGCTCTGTAAATATTAAAAGTAGTCATTAAAAAACGCTTGCATAAAATTTAGGTTTTATCAATATCCTAACCTTTTTTGGTAGAGATAATTGTTTTTTTCTCTTCGTTGAGGGCGCTTTCGGAGGTTGGAAATCATCATCGGACTAAGTATAAAAGGAAGAGTTAGTTTATATCGGACAATCTCCAACTCACAACTTACAGCTAAAATAATTACCTCTTGGTCTCGTTTTGATGAATATCCAGTGAGGGTTCCGCCATTGATATTACCATTAATACATAATATATTTCCATCCCCGCTAATTGGCTGGTTGATGTGAATCTGATCACGTCGCTTATCGTTCCAATTTTTGGCTTTTTTACGGTCATCCTAAGTATGTAAGGTACGGAAGGAATTAGTAATTGTGTTCTTTGACTGACTGACTCAATTTATCATTGATTTCCATCCCACCGAACATCATAGCGACCGAGAAGGCCTCCTGTGCCCCAGTGAGTCCAATGCAGGCTCAGCGAAAAGCCTTGAATGTCAGGCGACCGAGAAGGCCTCCTGACACGCCACAAACTATCTTTCAGCAAAAAAAAGATTCTTTACTTGCCTCTTTATACCACCTATCAAGAAGCACCTTGGCGCATTCTTGCCTGTTACCATGATCAAATTCAGCGATGAGTTTAAGAGATTTTATATAACAGTCTGTCTTTCGGTCAAACGGTTCTAGTTTGCACTCGCTCAAAAAGTCGGAAATGCTCCAGCTTTCTTGGTTTCGGTTGAAATATTCGTGAACTGACATGAGTATATTATTTTATTGATTTATTGTTAGGGTTGAATAAAAATAAAAGAAAAAAGATTAATTTCTAGATTTATGATCGCTACCACGAGATTGTCACCACTCATTTTTATTTAAAGTCACGTGATTCTGATCGTTACTAATATCTTCCCCAGTAACACCTAGAGGATAGATAAATAAACGGGGGGCCAACTTATGGTTACACAACATGATAGTCATAAGACCGAACTGAAGCCATATAAGTAAAAAAAATTACCCCATGTTTAAACCGAAATATCAGGCGATAATCAACCCATCACAAAATAAAAACTATTTTTTAAACATGACGCAATGCTCAAATTTATCGTTATATATTTTTTTTTATGTTTCTTTTCTATATTTTTTAAAATTTTTGAATCAGCATTTTAAATATCTCAAAAATGGAAAAAATTTTATTAAACACTTGAAAATAATGAGTAATAAAAGAAGAAAAACACTATTTTTAAACGTTTTTACAAAAATTATTATAACTTTCTTATTAAAAGTTTCAAAAAGCGAGTGCAATTCTGACATGCACTACCAGAATAGCAAGAAAAAGGAATGAAAATTTTGTTGGTATTACTGGGGTAAATCATTACCAATGGTAACGGTTTTTTGCAAAGAAAAAAAATTTATTAATGATTTTTTAAATACGAATCTGAAAATACTGGAGAAGCGAGTGAAATGTATGATGCTATCAAAGAGGGAGGGAGTACACAGATCCTAGGCCATTTAATGCGAGTCCAGCATCACATTATTTCTTTGCTCTATTGTAAATTTCTATACTAACTGTTTTTTTCCTATCACTATTGCACCAATACTTTTTTTCTACACTAGATTTCTGAAATAAATTATCTTATACAAATTTTCACATATCTATATCACCCTCACTCACACAGACAATATTCCCTGTAAGAAAACTTCTCTGAGATTAGGTAATTTCGAACTTACAGCATAAATCTGGGATTAGTAATTGAGATAAAAAATAAGGCAATGTAATATACACTTACCATTACTATTAATTTTCGCAACATTCCATTCTGCCTGAAATTTATTGCTTAACGCATTATAATAAAGGTATTTCGATTTTTTTATCTCACGTACGATATTGCGTAGAATTCAGCAAGTGAAGATGCTTATGATTCCTAATATACTACGCCAGACCTTTGCTATGAAGTTGCATGTGACGAGATTCATGTGAGTAATTTCACTGCATCTATTATACGCGTGATGATAGTCTGTGATTTTCTCGGCAAAGATCAAAATGCCGATATATAGTAAAAAGAGTATTATGTCTGCTTTATTTTGGATCATCTATAGAGGTAGGAAAATTAATTAACATCGTGATGACATATCTCAAGAAGCTAGCCGAGCAATAAAATCAATATACTTTATTATTGTTTTGCGGAATATAGAAGTTTGTTTGATCAAAGATATTAACGATGTAAATATTGGTAAGTTTGATAGTTTGAATATTTCGCTTGATTTTTTGTTTTACTTATACAAGGCGGATAAAAAGCTTCACTAACTAGGCCTTACCTTTTTATATAATTCGCAGAAAGTCTAAGATCTTTAAGAGGAATTTTCGTTAATATGACAAATCCAATTTAACTCACCAAAAATGGAATATTAATTAGTGATCACATAGAAAATTTCTGTGGTAATTGAGTCAATCTGTTACCTCAATTTCCATTTTCGTTCCATTCTAGCATCATGATCAGAAACACTCGTAAATCATTAATTCATGAAAAGCTAAATTATTTACTAGAACTTTTGGAAAAAAAAATGCATGACGATACACAGTTTATTAATAGAACATTAAAAATAGATGCACTGCGGTTAGCATTAGATCAATACAAAGGTATAACCAATTTTTAAATAAATGGAACAATGCCTGTGATATACTGTATAATGTTTTATACTAATTACTGCAGACTTTATTTTTTCGTGCAATAACCCTCTATTCTATATTCTAACATACTTACTCAAAAGAAATTATAACACTTTTGTTTTGAAAAAATTGCATATGTAAATTTTGCGTTACATAGCCTAAGCAAAAATATCAACTGCGTATCGATTTTACATGACCAGTCTATGCTATGATCGTGAATTTGAATTTATTGCTTGAAGTGAAGCAAGAAAGACAATATTCTGTTCCATTCCTATACCATTCATCATGTAATCCATAATTCCCATATTTTCCATCACAAATAGGACATGGTGAGCTCCACAGCTGAGGTGATGCAAAATTATAATTATTGAAATTTCAGGTAATCAATTTAGCAAATACTTCCCTGATTAATCACTTTTTTGAAAGCGTAATTTTATCATGTAAGCTACATGCAATTAGTACTATCCATATGATATTAAGTTATTGTATAAGTCACGTAAAGATTAATCAAAATTAAAGTATTTTCGATCAATACACTCTTTAAATTTATATATCTTTTGAGAAATCGTGATTTCTAGATTCTCATCATATCATACTTCAAGAAAGTAAATTCCATTTAACTGGTATAGGGTTCTTTTTTTCTGATCACGATCAACAATATCTTCAAGTTTTTTAACATCTTTATACCAGCTAGTATTATGAAGCCGATGTTGTGTCCCTTACACTTCTAATGCCATTTGATATTTTTAGAAGAAGGCATCAAGCTCTAATCCGTTCAAAAAAGGAGGGTGATATTCGATTATAGGTTTCTCATTTAGAATCTCCTTAGCTATTTGAATGCACTTGATCTGGAATTTGTGATTTTTTTTAGTTTCTCTTTCTGCCTGATCCTGCTACCCGAATGATATATTTAAAAACAATTTCTTCAGCATGATAGGCTTCTAAAAGGGCCACATTCTCTCTAGTATTAGATGCTAATAAATGTTGAAAATATGTATAATTATTATAATCCAGCTTAAAATCAAAGTCTGCTACACCTGAGAAGAGCCTTATTGCTTCATTTATTTCTTCAAGATTAGATTTAAAATTTTTTTGCGCTATGGAAGAAAATAAGAGGCGTGATGCTGAAAGTACCAAACTCAAGGCTAGAATCGAGAAGTTAGAGAAGAATAAGACAGATTCTTCAGCAAAGAACGTTAAGCGTGATGTTAAGATCGCTGAGATTAAGGCTGAAATAGTGAAACTAGCCAAAGGTGCTCAGGCAAAGGACAATAACGAAGAGAACAAAGAGCTACCCCAAATTATTTCTCTCAAGAAGGTTGTCAATATACCTAGTTCTGTTATAGATCATTCCATTAATATCAACCCTCTTGACATACAGTCAAAGGAAGATAGAAAGACCGATGAATTTTTAGATTCAGCGCATAAGAAGAGGATTGGCAATGAGATCAGGCAACGCAATAAGGAAAAGAAACTTCAGCATGAATTAGTTAATCAAGACATCATTCCCGAGCCTGTATATGTAGCAGAAATAGATAGTGTCGATAATAACTCAGATGAGCCAAGTGATCGTTAGAGCATTTTGGAAAAATTGGAACTTTCTGAAAATTTTGTAAATAAAATTCACAATTTTCATGATCAAAATATTGACAAATCTATAGAGAATAACCAGTTGGACCGTAACTTATCCTCCAGAAAGAATTCATCCAGAGATGATGATTTTACTGTTTCTTTTGAGCAGGAAGTAGAACGTGACTTAATGCAACAATTGTCTGTTCTATCCACTAGTATAATAAACACAGAAATTTCGCTCAACCCACTAGTAATCAATAAAAACAGCAATTTTCTGTTACGCCAGAGTGTATAGTCTATAAGTTTTGAAAAGCTATTCGTTCTGAACATGAGGAGATTTTACACTGGTATGGCTTTGCAAAAAGTTTTAATAAAAGAATCAATGAAATTCGTATTATCAACAAAGTTAAAATAAATACTACGAAACAACAAGTATACTAAGAAGTTAAAAAACTACTTCCAGATATTAATAATGTTAATCTACGTCAGCAACTATCTAAGGCAAGAAAATTATATAAATTATTTAATGTAGTAGACATAGAAAAGATAAAGCAAGTTACCTATAGTGCAAATGCAATTTTGAGCCTTAAGAATACACAAATCTAAAATATTATAGACTACTGGCTAATAGATCAGATGCAGTATTAAAGAGCTTTTATTTTGCGATATATTCTATGCTATCTTATTTAATGTATGCTATTATATGAGGCAAATATGGGTGCCAATAAGTAGGCAAATAATGTTCACAGTCTGCAGAGCATGTTCTCAAAATATGAGAACAAAGCTTCCTTCCATTTAGCATGCCATTGATTTCTAACCCTATACTACCTTTTTTTTAGCCCAAAACTAGCCCGTCATCAGCCTGAATTTTTGCAAGCTTCTGACGTTGATAAAAATTTCGAATGCGATATTTACCTGCATGATTCCTACAAGCACTATAAATAGAGAAAGTTAATTTTTCGCATTCTATACACAGAATTTGTCTAGGAGACTTCCAATAAACTTTACATCCTCTGCAAACTAATCTGTATGAATATAAAATCACTCCTTTTTTCTTTACTATTTGCTCAGAAAAAGACTTTTCCAAATTCCAGATCTGATTAACTGATCATTTCGCTCTAAGAATATTCTTAGTATTTTTCCTGAAATCTAGGCTTTGGCAAATTTTTTGGCTATTGTCTATGCGAAAAGTTTTGCCAGAAACATATGGAATACTCAAACTTTCAGGAATATATGGAATTTCTGAACTTCCAGGAATATTTTTTTCTGGGAATTTTCTAAGACTATATACTTACCCTATTCAAACATATACTCAGTCAATCGCATTTCAATGATCATTATAAGAGTTTGCTTGACCAATTACCTCATCTATGAAAAAGGATGTATGGTTACGTCTATATTTTTTATCATTTTTTATCGTTCTAAAATATTACTAAAAATACTGGAGGACTCTGAAAAATGTGAATTTTATTTATAAAATTTTGACAAAATTTTCAGAAAGTTCTGATTTTTTCGAAATGCTCCAACGATCATGCCTCTCTAGAAAAGAACCATATGACACAACCAAACCCAAGACCAGCAACTGAGCACCCTAGTAGTAGAGGCACTCAATAGGAGGCAAGAAGCGTATCGCAAAAACCCACATAGCAAGAATAACTTCTATCGCTAAATCATACCTCTAAGTACTATAAAACTAACTAACATTAGCCACGTGAAATAAAGGTCAAGTAAAATATCAAAAAACCCACATACCAGAAATAAAGCAAAACGCAATTTTAAACCCAAAACAAAAACCACGCAGGAATTAACTAAAGCAAAAAAGGATAAAGAAGAATAGCAAAAAACTAATATAGCAACGCAAAAAGCAAAAAAAAAGGAAGCTCATAAAAAACAGCAACCAATCAAAGAGAGAAAATAAGAAAGAAAGGAAATAAGAATAACGTAAAAATAAGGAGAAACAATAGTATTGAAATAGGCTACCAAATAACTGTAAACTATTGAAACCAGCCCCCACTGATAAGTAGGTAACACTAGTGGTAAATAGATAATATTCTAACATAAGTAGATTTACAGTCTAACATAAGTAGGAAACAGTCTTATAAGACTGTTCCCTACTAACTTTAAGGGCCTAATTTAGTAATCAGTTAGTTAGAGGATTGGAGATATAATTTGCATTATATTAATCAGCCTATATATTTTCCTTTTTGATTGCCATTTCTTGATTGTCAGATGAGGCATATGCAAAATGCCAGTGTTATATCATTTTTACAATCTTGCCTTTCGTGAACCTTTTGATTACTGAGGATAAGGCATAAAGTGCTGAATTAGTTCAGTCTATATTGCTTTCATACCTTTTTTCATATATTCTCCTGAATCTTTCTGCCTTTTCGATCTCTTTCTTACCTATCAGCAGTAGGCCACTCAAGTGAAATTTTTCTTTTTTTTTTATATATAATTCTGCTTAAGTGGGTTACCATAAACTTGCTTATTTTTGCCTTGTAGCTCTTATTCCTGCATAATTACTACCTTATCTGAGTGTCTTTAGCTGATTACTTTAGAATATTATTGCATTAGTAGGCCACTCAAGTATAATTTAGAATAATTTAATATAATTTAGTATATTTATTGTATACTTTTGCTAATAATCAGATTGGAGTTCAGCTTTACATACTTTTTTATTTTGAACTTTCTAAGTTTTTATGTAATTTTATACTAGTTTCTTGAATATACATCATGCTACTTGTACAAAAAAATGCTGAGCCTTACTCACTTGTTTATTCTGAACTGCTTGAATTAATTTTTAATAATCTCAAAATTAAAGATATACTATATTCCTGTCTTACTGTAAATCATCAATAGAATTTTAAAGTATTTTGAGTATTTTAAAGCAAAAAGAAAGGGAATTTCATAAAGATCTTAATTTTATAAAATATCGGTTAGACTGGAGTAAATAAGAAATAACCTGTATTTATACAGTTATTTATACTCTGTATTATGATTGAATTACAGCAGGAGAAGAAATTGCAAATGTTTATGCAATAATCAAATCTCATATAAATAATCTTACAAAAATTCTTTTTTGTTTTATTAAGTCTTCTATTTTACGAAATAAATTTCATGTATAATGGCAAAATCTTTATAAACAGATAAAAAAATTGTTAAAAGATAGCAATCTACTTGATAATATCAATAATACATAAAAAGAGTGAATATATAAATAAGATTGTTGAGCTATATTATCAAGTACCCTTAACTGAAATTGCTACTTCTTACTAAGAATACTGATAATACTTATTTTCTACTTATGCAATAATAATGACTAAGTTTAATTTTACTTTTCTAGATTTGCATATATTCAGATTTATTCTTCTGACTAAAATAGTCTGAAACTAATAATCACTATCACAAATTTCTATATGTGATATTTTATTACATCTATAAAATGCAAGACAAAATTGATACTAAAGCTTTAGCATATGTTCAAAGACATAAAGAAAGATGCTTAGGCAAAGTTAATCCTAATACATATTTATGATCATGTAAAAAGGATCATTAATGGGAGGCATTACAGTTCATCCTTTCTATAACAAATCTTGTGTTCTAAAGGTCACACTTCACTATAGCAAGGGAATTCGTTAACTGTATATAACGAATAAAGATAAGATTTTTGCTATACAAAAATATTCACGTGATATGTACTAATTATTAATTTAAATGTGACGCATTGATTAAAATGTTCCTTTATTATATATTACGTTACTCAAATACCATTACAATGCTATTTATTACCTATGCCGGCTATGCCAACTTCCC